TATATATATATATATATATATATATATATATATATATTCGTGTATTTTATTTGTGTTCGAGAATGTTTCTGGTGTAATTATGACCGCAAGAGGAGAATTAATAGTCTTTGAACGAGGATTAGTAGTTGGAACTAGACGCATAGGACATTTCATTTCGGAAATTGTGAGAGAATTCAGATTCAAAGAACTACAATGTGACGAGAATACTCTATTTCAGGCATAATATCCAACCCTAGACAATGAAGCACTTAATGCTCGAGACCGCAGACGTGTACGGAGAAATGTTAACAGTATGCGAAATACCCTCAAACATGGATGCGAGACGTGAAATGGACGTGCTTGTTATGAAAGCTTGGCGAAATCTGACTGTAATGGGATACAGCAGGAGACAGGCTCGAGTGCCTTTATTAACAGCATAACATCACGTCCAATGCCTCTCCTAGACTCGTGACGACATTGGTTGGACCCTAGACGACTATAAAACTGAATGCTTGATCAGAAGAGTCCAATTTCAGCTGATCAGAGAGCTGGTGGGTGAATGTGAAGGTGGTGCACACCCCTCAAAGCCTTGGACTCAACCGAAATGGTCAACAATACACCTTGGAATCTGGTGGTGGCTCCATAGTGGTGTTGTCTGTTTTTCAGAACATGGACTAGGTCATTGGGTCTGATTGCACCAATCACTGACTGGAAATGGTTACATTCAGCTACTTGAACAAAACTTGCTGTCATTCATAGCTTTCATGTACCCAAAGAACGATGGAATTTTTATGGTGAACAGTGCGCCTTGACACCGGGCCTTAATTGTTGGAAACCAGTTCGACTGAGTCATTCGATACAAATAATTATTACCTTTTGAGGTTTTTAATTAATAAGAAATAAACGCAAATCAATGTATAGGTTAACCTTCTTGGATTCATTTAGTGTAGTGTATGAAATAAAAAACGGAACACCTTTTATAACTTTTGATTTAATGATCGGGATTTCACGCACCCGAACTCAATTATTGAATAAATCTTTTAATGGTTAGAGGATCTTCAAGTAATTGAATTTTTAAAAAGTGGTTTTCTTAAAGTTTAATTTCTCGAGAACTATTCAACCAATTTCGTTCAAATTTTGCTCTTTGCCATTTAAAATTACATTTTTAAAATGTTGCAAAGAAGTTGTATACTTTACAATTTAAAAAATATTGACTATTATTAAATAAAATGTTAAAACATAAATAAACTATTATTTATAAACTATAGATTTTCTTGCATGGAATTATCTTAGGATGAACAAATTTTATAATTGTATGTAAACATTTGATACACAAAAGAAATACACAAAAAGTAAAATTAACTTAAACGTGTCCAAACTTTCGACCGCTCTCCTGACTAAACTCTTGGAACCATATTTTCCAGATTGCGGCTACCTCCATACTTTATGAGTCAGAAATCAAAATTTGCCGAAAAAAATATGTGTTTATTCAGAGAAAGCACATTTTGTGTAACTTAAAATATCGTCTAAACTAATTATTTAGCATATTTGAGGTAGAATTGAGGATTTTCACGTATTAAGATTGAATCTTAATACGTGAAAATCCAATCAATGGGTTCCAAAGTTATTCAGGGTGTCCAGTTTTTTACTTCGTGTACTGCACATCAATCACATTTCATTTGGATTCAATTTTACGTATTTAAAATGACATTTATGGGGAAATGCATTCCAAAAACTATTATTTTAAAAGTATGATTTGTGATAAAAATAACTTTCTTAAGCAGCTATTTATGAAAATTTTTATAATTAAAAAATAAATTTTTTTGTTAATTAAATACGCTCTTGAGTTTCATTACTTATTTTGTCACTCTAAAGTGCAATATTCGCTTGCAGATACAGTCTATTAAGTTAACTGAATGTGAAGTTTGAATGTTTTAGGGCAGTCAATGAAAGTTTTATGAAAATTGAATAAATTTTTACAGCAATTTGTGTTATCCTGGCACAAAGACATCCGTCCCATAAAAAGGAACATTTGCTTTGATGTATCTTGCTCAAAAAAACAAGCTCCTATTGTTTTATGGAATTGTCATGGTATGCAAGGAAACCAACTTTGGAAATACGATTTGGTAAGGATTTTTTCAGATTTAGTTATAAAAAGCACAATTAATAATACATTCCAGCAAATGAAACAAGCAGCTCTTAAGGTAATTCATTTGTCAATAGTTTTGAATTGAATAAATAAAAAGTCTGAAAAAGGTTGAAGATACTTGTGCAACGAATGAACTGTAAAATTAAAATTTCTAAAGCAGTAAAATAACGCTGATGCAAATTTAAGTTACATTTTCTCTTCCAAGATTTTGTTCGATTTTTTTTTCTCTGACAGATGGCCTTGCAGGTTATATACGTGTAAAGGAAAGTATAGTAAGTACTTTCCTTTGTTTGGACCCGTGGTGGTGACTATGGTAACGAGGCATAACTGTTTCAAGTAGGGGTGTAAGGTCACTGTTTAAGGTTTTGGCTCGGATCAACAAGAGAATCTTTTTCTTCGGTCTATTGTGTTAGCCCTAGAGTGAAGAGAAGCTACCCTCCCTGAAACGTGCTATTCTGGTTTCCATAGCAGCAGACGGTCTCAGACTTTGTGGCGAGGGGAGTTCTTACTGGTGACAAACTATAGCATAACTGAAAATTGCATCACAAATATAAAAAAATTTTGATGAATAAAAATCAGATTGCAGCATATTTTTTAGATGATCTCATCAGCCTTTATAAGCTGTAATCAGAAGATAAAACTAGAACACGCAACGGGAAAAAAATGGAAGGGATTTACATCAATCACTATTTGTTGCTAATTTTTTTTATCTAAAACTAGAAAGACTAAACTGATCAAACACTAGACTGCAAGATTCATTTGATTTTTCTTCGCCGTTTCCCGGTTTTAATTTTTTAAAAGCTGTCTAGTCTTCCTGTAAGAATGTTGAGATATGATTTTTCACCAGAAAATGTTTTGTTATTTTCAGGAGACTCAACATTTGATACATTTGCTGACAAATACATGTCTGGACTGTGATGTTCAAAAGAAACAAGTTTTTATGAATTCTTGCGATTCCACAAAAAGAACTCAAAGCTGGAGATTTGAAATTATAAATTCCACAGCTATTTTTAATTGGTAATTCACTTTTTATAGCAGATATTTTATACAATAAAGTTACTCATTAAAATTATTTAATTTACTGACAGTATTTGAAGGATTAAGTGTCCTATCAATATACAAATGGTGCTGTAAAAGAACAATAAAATTCAAAAGTGTAATATAAAATAAAATGTTTGCTTCCTAATGACTGCGTCATCAGTATCCTACATCTTGGTTTACACCCGCCACCTTCACAAAAATTCGGTGGAAGGATAATCGCCAAACAGATTCACCTACAAAGGCAATCAGTTGATAAGGAAGAAAAAAATAGAGATTACAGTTTAAAAGACACAATTTAAATGGGAAAAAAAAGTCTGATTATTAATAAACTTAAACCATCACAGATTTTTTCAAAAACTCTTTTTTATTTGATTTCTTACATGATTTTCTATTTTTCTTCATAGCTTCCACGTTGTTTTTAAACATTTCTCATAACGTTCTTCAGGTTTTTTGTATGTCTATTAGTTATTACACGTGTTATTACACGGGAGTTATTACACATGTGCGTTTCAATGTTTTCGTGACATCCAATTAGCTTCGATTCCGGATAACCCTCGTACAAATATTTGTTAGGAACTGCTATCCTAATTTTTTTTTAATTAATTGAAGAAATATTATTGAGGGGAGGTTATCTTGAATTAACAAACTAAATAATGGGCTTTATTTTATCGTCGAAAATGCGACATTTCGTTTCTAACTAATTGTTAAAACATAAATATTAATCACACGGCCCACCAAAATTCAAATCGCACTTTTTTCATTAATTGCCAAATACGATTTCCTACAAAATGAAGAAAAAAATGTCAAATTTTTCCCTCGCTTGCGCAGAATAAAAGAGCTACTTTAATTACTCGTATCTTGCTCAAGTTTAAACGAATTTTTCTCAAATTTTAAAAGAATAATTTTTTAACTAATTTTAAATTGCACTAAAAATGTTGTTTAATATTACTGAATATTTTTAAAATTATAGCAAAAAACGTAAGACAAAAAAGTTAGTCTTAATTAAAATATCCATATCTCCATAAATACTTTAGGCTAAGCTTACAAAATATTGTGCAATTATTACATATAATAAGTAAAATGACTTCTACAAGTTACAAATTCATTACTACAATTTTTGGCAGAGGTTGAAAAACGCTATTTTCCGTTTGAATTTATTGTCTGTCCCTCAAACCTCTAAAGCTTTAAACTTCATTGAGAAGTATGAGAAATCGCATAATCTTCTGAAGTTATAAAATGATTCGTTAAATATTTCTTGAGAAATATAAAAAATTTATTAATATAGAAGTGTTTATCCATTATTTTGTCTAATCCCTGTATATCCTAATTAATAATTGCTAAACAGTCCGTACGCACAATGAAGGTCCAAGAAGGACATCCAGCGGGACTAAACCTTTAACCCTTTGTCGCAGAATTTTCATTGTACAGGTTTTTCATACTTTTTTTCATTATTTTGTATTCGTTTAGGTCAGAATAAGCAAAAAATATTATATTAAGCGTTTTAATTATTTTGAAATACTGCATCGTACTCCGGTGACTCTTTTTTCGTTAAGGATGATTCTGGATTCTGATAACATTTTCCAGACAAAAGTTTTTCAAATTTGCTTTCATTTGTAGTTAATTAGGTCTAAGAAAGACAGTAATTTTTTTTTGTCTGAATTGAATTTTTTTTTTTAAATTTCAAAATCATTTCTAGATCAATTTTTGAATTTGAAGGGGGAAAAAATTTTCAAACTACTCTTTTTTTTTATTTTATGCTTTTGAATAAGTATAGTTCCGAGAATTTAACAGATATTTTCAGTAACTATAAGACTGTTTTTTATAATTAAAAAATAACGAAATATATTTATACTTGTAATTTGAGCGTCAGTAAATAATAAAACAGACACCGATGTCTCCCCTGCAACAAAGGGTTAAATCTCTTACTGTTATGTTTTATAACTGATAAATGCTTAACTTTTCGAAAATATTTTTGAATAATTCAATAAATTCAACAATTTTCAAATAAATTTATTAATCAAATTTACTAAAAAAAATCATCTATTAAACTAACGTCATCTATTAAACTATCATCTAACGTAAAATAAATTAAAAATATTTTATTTACAATAATTAATTTTTTTCGGCATAAATAAACATGAAAAATCAATTTTCTTTCGTTTGTTTTATAAATTATATATGTCTTTTTCGCTCTGTTTAGTGATCAGAAAGGAGAAATCTAATCGAGAAATTTGACTACACATATTCAAGTAATGGATAGAAACATTTATTAGCATTTTTAAAAAAATTACTCAGGTTTGAGGCGAAGAATTGACATTAGCTGAAATTTAATTATTTTTTATAAAACATTTGTTAAGTGAAACAGGATTCATATTTAAATACGGGCATCATATTTTTCAAAATACCCATATTAATCAGCAAATATTTATAGAATTTTTTTTATAAAAAATTCCTATTTTATTCAAAACACGCAAAAGCCAGGGTATAGATAAGGTAATTTCTTAGTAATTTTTTTTCAAATTAAATAAACGCATAATGTTTCATATTCCGAAAATATGTCTTGTACTACTTATAAAAAAAATTTAAAAAAATATTTATTTTGTATAAGACTCCAGAGCATGTATTTTTAATTGAGGTTGACATTTTGGGCAGAATGGGATTCATTTGAAACTGGTTCCATATCAGTTTTTAGGCATAAGATATTTCAAAAACACCCGTATTGAAAAACTATTAAAGAAAAATAAAATATTTAGTCCAAAGCACACTAATTCCGAAGAATAAAAATCGTGAAAATTACGGTTGTCATTTCGCTAAATGTGGGCAATTGTTTTGCTAAGTAAAATTTATCTTGAAATGCTTCCTAATAACTCATAGACTTGATATACTTCAAAAATACTCACATATGTTTAAAAATATTGATAAAACAATTTTTTAAAAAATTTATTAAATACAAAACACGGTAATTGCTGATCATATATAGGACTAGCATTTGAATGGACAATTTTCGAATTTTTCATAATTTTTTAAAAGCGGGATTTATTAGAAACTGGTCATACTAATGTATGGGTCTCGTATTTTTCGAAAACTTTTAGAAACGACTAGAAATGTTCATCAAATTTTTAAGGAATTCAACTTTTGTCACACCCATACGTCACACCCGGTTATAGGGTGGACCCATTCGTACATTCATTCATTCAATTACAAATCGTAATTTTGACCTGAATCAGAGAACGATCAATCTTCACTCCAGTATCCCCAGAGGTATTGATTTGTTATGGGAACATGGAGGACTTTGGGACTCGACAGATTTAACGTGCATCAGTCACTATTTACTACAAGTGAAGTCTTTGGCTATCGGGGTTCGAACCCACGAACTCTCGTACATGGACCCAGCGCCCTACCGACCAGGCTACCCCGGCCCATATAGCTCTAATAACAGCGAATTTTTATAACATTTTACCAAGGAAAATTCCTTTGAAACTGTATGATTTAAGAACTGATTGATTTCGAACACATTGATTTAAGATTGTCATTTATTCCAAAAACACAGTAATTGTCTTGAAATATTATTTTTAATCAAAAACACGCAATATCTAAAGCATATATACCACTAACATAAGAGTGGACAGTTTATGAATTGTTTTTAATTTTTTGCATTCATGTGAAACTAGTTTTAATAAATATATGAACACCATATTTTCCAAATCTACACAAATGCATTTTAAAATAATTATAGAATGTTTTTTGTAAAAAAATACTTTTTAGTCCGTTCAAATATTGAAGCAAAATTAGATCATTCATTACATTTTCACAAAACTCTAGTTTTTCTTCATATTGACATTTTGCACCATTTTCATAATTAGTACAAAAGGCGTTGGTTAACATAACCTTACACAACATAATAGACATAGACAAAACATAGACATAACCTGGAGAAAACATAACCTAACAGTAATATAAAAAAACATTAGTTATAAACATAGCATGATATTCATTTTAAAGCATTATTTCATCTGATGACAAATCTTTAGTAAAACAGTTTTTAAACGCACTCATACTATACAGGGTGATTCTACTATCATGGGACTAACTTAGAGAATTGGTTGTGTTTACTTAAACGAGTATTTTTTTTATTTATTTATTTATTATAATCGGGGATTTTTTTTTTTTTTTTTTTTTTTTTTTGCAAGACGATGTAGGGTATAAAGTAAAGTGTTAAACACGAACTTAAAAAAAGTGCCACCTCAGGAATAGCATGTTTATTTAAAAAATCAACGCAACAATGTTTTTTTTTTTTTTTGCACTTAAACGATATTAATGATAAATGTTCAAATTTGGACCACAAACGAACTACAGCTGTGATTGGGCACCATTAATGAGACACACGTTGATTCAATATAGGATCGCGTTGTGCGACTATCCATTGCGAATGTTATCGAAAATCCTGCTATTGCGCTTAGTATTCTGCTACTCTACCAAGAATCTTTTCATTATATATTTTTCAACCAGCGTTGAACATCAGACCCAATTTTGGGTTTACGACTACTAATGTTCAACTCCGTAGCCTTGTAATGTTTTATCCAATCCAAAAGACTAGGGAACTCCTGGATCAAGTATTGGGAGAAATTTACCTTCGTGGTGGACTTTTTGATGAAACTAACCCGTATTTGCGTTACGAGGAGAGGAAGACTACGAGAACCTCCAATGGTTAGCCTGATGGCAAGGGGACTCTAACCCATGATCCGTCTATCACTGAGGATATTTCACGTCAGCATTGTGATCAGTGCAATTCGAATACGGAATTCGTATCTAACAGTCATCTCTGGGATTCGAACCCGGTTTACGTCATTGGAAGGCGAACGCTCTATATGCTGAGCCATCGCGGGTCTTCAAGAATGTATTACTGTTGATTGTCGTAATTGTAATAATTTATTGTGAATACTGTATTGAGGCAAAGAAGCGTTGATTTTGTAAATAAACACCTTATTCCTCACGTGCCATTTTTTGCGTTCATGCCTTAACAAGTCACTTTAGACCCTACATTTCTTTACAAAAAATGCATTTTTTATTTCGTTCAACGATTCTTTCAAATTTGTTCATCGTTCGTAAAATCACCCTGTATTTGTTTTTTAATAATACTAATTCCATCGTGATATTTTTATTTAGATCTCTTCAATTTACACATTATTTATCAACATTTTGTAAAAAAATAATAATAAATGAGTGAATAATAAATTCTTTTTCACTATCATGGCAAAAATCATAAGACATGCAGGCATAAAAACTGTTTATTGTTGATGAAACAATGGTTTACGTACTGAGATACTATTGAGATGGACAATAGGTACCAGCTTGTCTGGCAATTAAAGGCGATTTGTTGTTGGTTTCAAAATTATGAGGCCATGAACCTGTTGGCAGACAACTAGCTGTTGAAGGAGAGCTTTAATCTATTTTCCAATTCTGGCACCGGAAAGCAAAGAAATAGGATCAAAAAGAAATAGCAATAAAATGACAGAAAAAAGTCTATGAATTCAATTGGTCCCTTGCTTTCTAGTAGATTTCCAACAAACTCTAGGACAGCTCTCAAGATGAGTACAGTTCATAAAATCCTAAATTTACAGAACTAGCAGCATGGGTTATAAAGTACGTTTATGAAGTGTAGATGCCGAACAGTATTCACTATATATTTTCAGTCACTATATATTCTGATAGTTTAGTTAATGATCCTTCTAGTATCTCACCCAATGTATGGAAAACTATTTTAATTTAATCTTTTGCCCTTTTGATTTCCAACTCCCTCATACCTGTTTCGTATCACCTTTTTTATTATTTTGTTCAAACTTGTTCCCCTTTTTTTTATTGATTAAACCACTTTGCAGTTGTTTATCTCTTTACTCCTCTAATGCCATTTAATGTTTAGACACAGAAGAGTTTTTTGTATGGAGAACCGAAACTATAGTAAGTTCATTTCTGTACTTGATTTTTGATTTATTTACGTTGTTTTTCACTTTATTCAAAATAATTTGATTTTTGTAAGACAGAGACATTAAGAGAGATTGGCAATTCTTAATAGCTACCAAATATAGGCTTCAGTAGAATTGTCTACAGCTTTCGGATCTGATAAAATGTCTACTCTTGAAAAATGATCCAAGTTGCACAAATGGCTGGTTTTACTTTATTGATGTCTGCAAAAGCAATATTTCTTAATAATAGCATCTTCAACGCATTTTGATTGATTTGCATACCGATTAATTCTACTTACTTCATCTTGAATTATAAAATGAAAAGTTCTTTTTTGTAACGTTGCTTCGAAAATAGCACCACTTGGATTGACTTGTAAAGTTATCAAATAGTCTGTTTGAAGTGCAATTCTAGCATCTAATATTTTACTAAGCCTTAAAGGAACACAATATCTCATAAATGGTGTCAGGAGTTGATTTATTTTTCTAACAACCAATAATGCAGCACTACGGACATTTGAATCGTGTTTAGACAGAATACTATAGAATTGACAAGTGCACCAATGCTTCGTTATCATGGCATCGGAACAAGTTCTCTCAGCTCTTATTTCACTCAACAAACTTTGTCCATGCATTGTATGAAATTGTTCTTCATCAAGATTCAAAAGATGTAAAAGAGTCGCATGAATATCATATGGTGTGGTTAATCGGTTTTCGTTGATGTGTAGATTTTTCGCGTAAGTTGGAAATTTTTTTAAAAACCAATCAGGGAATAAAAGAAACATAAACGGCATTCTCTCCTCTATTTGGCCTATATAAGTTCGGCGTATACCTCCGAATCTAATACCATGATCACTGAAAAAGATGAGTAACGATCGGTTTAAAACACCAGTCTCATTTAGAGATACAATTAATTCATGGGATGGTTTGTCAGCATAACCAGCGTACTTAAGTATGTCATGAGTCAAACGGGCTATGAATGTGAAGGTGAAAATAAGTCTATTTTTCATCGTGGACACAAAGTTTATCAAATAATCAAAATAAACTTCCATTTCTAATCTGTCACCAATGCAATGGGTTTTATGTCTTAAATTAAGTGTTTCAACAGCAACTGAAAAGGGTCGGCTGTAATAATCTGTAGGAGGGTGACGAAATCCTCTTCTATTTAGAACGAAAGTACCCATAGAAGGGGCATCTTCAGAAAATAAAGTTCTGTATCCATTATCCGCAAATCGTTTCCATATGAAATCAACATCATCGTAATAACGAAATTTTCTTTCCTTGAATTTATAATAGCTTCGATGACGACCTGTCAGAAAAGCTATCAAATTAGGGTAAGTATTGTCTGCCACTTTCACAAAACCATTTAGTTCTATGGGCTGAAACTCGCTTTTTAGAATTTGAAATGTTTTTTTGAAATAACGAATGAAATTTAATTTTGATATAGAGTCAATGCCTACAATGACAACACTTAATTTTTGCTGGGATTTAATTTTATCACATCGTTTTTCTACTTCTTCTTTAAAAGGAGTTAGTAAAAAAGCCCTAGTGATAATGGTACGGTTTTTAGCTTTACATTTCAACAATACAGAATCATCCTCGATTGGCAAATCAAATATCATATGATGTTCTTTGCCTAAAACAAATGTGTCGTCGGGTTTTCTTCCTTTATTTAGTCTAGTAATGGGACGAAATGTGCAATCAATTTGATTCTTATTTAACTTATATTCTAGAAATAAAGCAGACTCGTCAAGCGATATAACTCCATTTTCCTTAACGTAGAATATTGTTTTTTTAGATGAACATCCATAAGATGACGAAGTTTTTATATAGTATTTTTTCACTCTTGCGTCAAAGGGATTATATTTTGGTATTGAACAACCCGGGGTATAGATTAAAAATTTTTTCTTAGTATTATTATTGTAAACATTCGTCGTATTGTATTGTATATTTAAGGGAACATCACTTATTTCATGATATGATTGCATAAAATACATACTAGAAAATATTAGTAACACTGATATACACAAAAATATTTTAAGCACGCTGAAATTCATTGCAAAATACGCATAAGCTGCCATTCTCTTATCTAGTAGTTAAAAAGATGGTACTTATTTGATACTCGGCGTTACTCATAAATCCAATTTTCCAAAAATTCTATTTTCATTCAATATAATGGAGCATTTCACCTACGGAAAAAAAAGCTAATTAGGTTATGAGCATTATATAAATCTTAATATAAATCTTAATATAAAGGGTGTTGCTTACAGATCACGCTTAATATACATATATATTTATATTTTGAATTCTTCTTACACAATCATTGACATTGGGAGTCCCCCGTAATTGATGTTTCGTTAACCCACCTTTCTCAACATTGATTTGCCGGATTTCAAAAGCGCTTTTGTTTTTTCTTCGCTTGATTATTAAATTGCGATCTTCAATGTGAATACTTTTTTACCTTTTTTCTAAGGTTTTCAAAATATATATTAAAGGTAGCATTTACGGAACATCCTCCATATTAAGGGTTATATCGTGTGAATGAATAGTAAAAAAAGTATACATTCGAAGGTTTGCGGATTTTTTAAGTTGGAAAAAAGTCAAAACGTTATCGAGATCTGACGAAACACTGCTGAAAAAGGCTAAATTAAAAATATCAAAACCTGTTTGGTTGATTGAGAAATTTTGAACATGTTTCCATTACTCCTATTTCACCGCTGCTAAGTTTTCACAGGCAATCAAACGTCAATTTAACTTCGTCATCCTCGTTTAGGATCAATCAATTTCTGATTTATTTATTTTTACCTTTTTTGCGTGTTGCCAAAACAAAACCTAGTTCAGTTTTGATAACTCAGACGATGGCTTTTCAAATGAAAAGTGATAGCTAGTATTTGAAGAGATATTTTCTCATCTTAGCTTCTAATTTTTGTTCAAACTACCGATAAAATTTTTCTTACATATATTCTATTTATCATTTGTTATGATTGTCATTTTCAGCAAAAGACAAGTAGCTTTGTCTCCACTTTTAATTTTAAGAGATCACTATCATGATTAATCAAGACAAACCTTGTGACAAGGATAAAAAATCTATCCTGGATCTGTCTTTAGACTTATAGTCTTGAAATATGTCTTTAAGTTTTAGGACCACTATCTTGATTTATTAGATCAAATCCTGTTCCAAGAATAAAAAATCTATCCTTAATGAGAAATGTCTCTAAGTTTATGGAAAATCTAATTATTTTTAATTTTCTAATTTAAAACACTTAATTAAATGACATACATTAAAATTTGTATATTAACTGTAGTAAAAAAATGCTACTATGGATTAAAATATCATTTTGAATCAAAATGCTTACGCCTAAGCAGCAGAATAAACCTATGCAAGATCTATAATTCTGTATATGGAAGGGAATACTGGATTATAAACAAAATTGAGGAAAACAAGTTCTTAATTTTTGAACCAAAAATGTTACGAGAGTTTTTTGGTATAGTTAAAAAAACAAAATTAGGCGAATCCGTTTTAATTCTGAAATCATTTCTGTGAACCGAACATGGTAAAAGTAATCTAATTACACCTATTAAGATGGCTTAGACATAATCTATATAGTGACCCGAACCCTGTAAGAAAAGTAATATTCCAAAAAAGAGATGAAAAGAAGAAGATCTAGGATAGGTAATGTTTAAAAAAAAAATTATGAAATTTCTTTTAACCTTTGAATAAGTTGTAATTTTATTTGATTTAATAAACGGTGTTGAACACCCCACTCATTTTTTAGTTTANATACCGGAAGAAACAGAAGCAAAATGTAATGAAAGACATGTAGGTTTTTAGTTGTGTCCCATTGTGCCAGATCAACAGAAATAATTAAATACAATAATTATGATAACAGAGTAGAAAAAATCATGTGAGAACATAAAATTTTTAATTTTTACTCAAAAGTAATTCTGAAACTGTATATTAGATAAGCTACGCTGTATGTTAGAACGCAATTTTCACAACTCAATACATTACTTTCAATTGACAGTTGGTTTAATTGCAGTAAAGTACGAAGGCTGGGACATAGCAATTTAGCTGTATCTCATGTATTGAAAAAGTATTGCACATGCATTATTTTTAAAATACTAATTTCTATGTCTCTAAACATTAACTAAAAACATATAGTAAATAAATTTGAATGCTTAAAATGTCATATGAAATTTTATTTCATAAATAAAAATTACTCAAAATCATTAAATATCAAAAGTTTTTTGAAAATGACTCATTTCCTTACTATAAAAAGATAAATCCTATTGCTTAATAATCACACCTCGTAATTATCTGATAATGAACAAAATCCCAGTTCAGATCAGTAGTAATGCAATATGATAATCCAAAATAATAATATATAAATGGAAAAAAAATTCTAATAATTATTTTTCTAAAAATAATCGTAGTAAACAATAATTCTTTAATCGTAGTAAATAATAATAAATAATGAATGAGTGCTTCCATCATGAGTGCAAAGAGAGAATGAAGCGCACTGCAGTGATTCAGGTAAAAATGGCAAAAAAAGTTGAAAGTCTGAATGGAAACAATAACAAGCTTCCTAAAACCGGAAGAAATTTAGAAAACTATGGAAACGGTGTATCCTTCCGCTTATGTTATGCTTACGAGGCGATGTGTGAATAGGCTTTATATTCTAAGAAGTTAATTGTGTTTAAATTGACGCGTAATTCATAAGAGTTTTTTTATAGGTCGTGAGCCCAAAACAAATTTAACAAAATTAATAACAATCACAACATAAATAAAGTGTAAGGCTAGTCATGTTTCGAGTTCTTATTTGGCTATATTTGTTTAAAATAGCACAGTTTTTTGGGTAGCATCATAGTTCCGAATTCATTTGTTTCATTCAAAATTAGATGAATGAGTTATATTGAAAACATATGTATAATAATATTGGATGGTGCGTTTTTTTCAAGCTCAGGCGAAATTAGTAACCCGGAAATCTTACCATGAACCCCTATTTCATTTTCTCCACCTATCTGCCACTTTCGCCAACTTGACTTTTAAAGAGTTGGATTACTGTTGTCTTGCTCAACTAACACAGCTTTTGATTTCAATCAAATTAAAAAAAGCTGAAACTTTGTAATGTACTGAGATCCATAGAACGAAAACCAATCCACAAAATAATTACCTCTCGACTTCTTTGGCACTTCAACAAGGGAAAGAGTTTTTATTTGATATTTTACTTTACACTAAACTAAGCTATAGGTAGCTTCATCCTTAGTGCTAGTCCGTAAACATTAAATAAAAAGAAAAGGAATTATAAGTGGTAGGATTAAAAAACTTAAAATAAGTAATATATAAAATTTGAGCTATTCTTTTATTATTCTATTTTATTTTTTTTCATTTCATCTTGTTTTACTTTATTCCATTTTACTTCATTTATTTATTTATTTATTTACCTGTCTGTTGATTTATTTTTACGAGTATAAAGAGTTTTGATGCAAATAGAAAATAGCACCAAAATTTATTTACAAGAATCCTTTTACCAAGGGATAACAAATTATGTGGGGAAACAAATTTTGAAGGAAGCCTTTTTTTCTGTGATTAAACAAAAAAAAAGTTTAGACCATATCACACCAAAGACCAATGAATAAACAATAGTAGAATATGATAAACAATAAATGGGATAATAAATAAGTTATATATTCTTTAAAATACTTTTTTCCTGGTATTTTTTTTTGGTGCTAATGGTAGTTATAAATTTTTAATATAAAAAATATTTTGCAAGAAATAACAAAATTCCGAACCAAGCACCTTTTGAATGAAGTACTTTTTATTATTACTAAACAAAAAAAATGAAGTATCAAACATTGTAGTAAAAAAAAACAATAAATAGGCTAGTGAATAAATAGGGCTGATTGATTAACATAAATGAGGTACTTTCAAAATTACAAAAAATCTTTTACGACGAAATTTACTAAAGGTAAACTACTTTTCTACTGTAAACAAAAAGAAGCTATTTTCTTCGTTCAGAGGGAATCAAAGGGATGCATTTTATCCCCCTGAAATTCATAAAAATTTAAAAATTATATCCTGTTTTTTATGTTAATATTTTTCATCATTTTAAATCATTTCAATTAGTCAATTTCATGCAGCGATGTGCCGAATTGAATCCATTCCAAGTCAAAAGATGAATTGAATTAAAATAGTTTAGATTTCAGAAAACTCCAAATATTTTTAAACTTCATTCTTCTTCACTGATTTTGGAGACCTTTAAAAATGATTTTTCTTTTCTTTGATGCTAAAAACAACTATCGTATCAAGTTTCAAGTGAAAATGATATTAATATTATACTTTTAATTACGTCTAATTAATAAAGTCCCTCTTTCAAAACATTTTCATTTTTTAGGAAATTTTATCACGAATAAGGCTTAGAATTTTTTTTCTTCTTTAAAATGATTTCAAACAAGTATGCTAACATCGATAAAAATTTATATATGTTCATAAAATTTATAAATAATAATTTTTTAGAAAAAAAATTATAATTTAAGTTTTAATTGTTGAATTCTTTCAAGTAACATTTGTTGTAGAACTTATTTGTGACCAAAAAAATACAAACAATCAAATACTTTGAAGTAATTGTTGCGAAAGGGGCACGTAATTAAATAATTGAATTAATTAACATCTATATAAAATTTTATAATTTTTAATGAAACTTTGCTTATGATGTACTTTGAATATCTTTAATTCACGTATAATTAATTAGATTTCTAGCATCAATAAAAACTATAAAATATTAAAAATTAATTAGGCTCTTTTTTAAGATTCAAAAGGTTAACAAAGAATCGAGAAGATAGAATTATAAAAGATCCTACCTGCGCTTGGATTGAATAGAGACTGGCGATTGTCCAGAAAAATGAATCAATCGATCAAGCCCTTTCATTTAGAAAGATTAATATCCCTAAAAATAGATTCCATCAAGTCAAATAACTGTGAAAATTTTCAAAAATTTCTTTCTTTCTACATTTGATAACAATTCCGAAAATTATGCTCATTAAAAGAACGTAGGTAGTCCTGCGAAATCTCACCAAGAAGTTTTTAAATCTGGACACACCTCGTAATGGGTGTTAACGAAAATGGATACAGCTCAAAATGCGCGTTTATAAAAATAGACACAACGAAATATTCGTATTTACA